TCACTACAGTCTTCAGCGCCAACATCAACATCACTACAGTCTTCAGCACCAACATCAACATCACTACGCTCTTCACTGTCATCACCATCACTACAGTCTTCACCACCATCAGCATCACTATAGTCCTCACCATCACACCATCCTCACCTCTTCACCATCATCATCCTACAGTCTTCACCATCAACATCAGCATCACTACGCTCTTCACCATCATCACCATCACTACAGTCTTCACCACCATCAGCATCACTACAGTCCTCACCATCACCACCATCACTACAGTCTTCACCATCATCACCATCGCTACAGTTCACCACCATCCGGCCGTCTTCACCACCATCACTACAATCTTCACCAACATCAGCATCACTAGTCTTCACCATCATCACCATCACTACAGTCTTCACCATCCATCATCACCATCCTACAGTCTTCACCATCATCACCATCATCTAGTCCTCACCATCATCACCATCACTACCTCTTCACCACCATCATCACCATCACTAGTCTTCACCACCATCATCACCATCACTACAATCTTCACCATCAGCATCACTACACTCTTCACCATCATCACCATCATGAGTCTTCACCACCATTGCCATCACTACAGTTCACCATCATCACCACACGACAGTCTTACCAACATCAACATCACTATAGTCTTCACCATCCATCATCACCATCACTGATCCTCCACCATCATCACCATCACTACAGTCCTCACCATCATCACCATCACTACACTCTTCACCATCATTGTCACCATCACTACAGTCTTCCACCGCCATCATGCTGTGTCCTCGTCGTCGCATCCTTGTCCGTCACCCTACCATCCTCCTCCACCATCCTACAAGTCTTCACCACCATACCATCATCACCATCACTACAGTCTTCACCACCATCATCACCATCACTACAGTCTTCACCATCCATCATCACCATCATCTTTGGTTGACACTTACCTGGCACTGACCACTAGCCCTCTCCATGTATCCATTTATCTAATCCTCACACCTGTTAGGTGGGAACCATTAGCCCCAATTCACAGGTGATGAAACCAGAGCACAGAGAGGTTAAAACCACATAGGCAGAAGATAACACCACCAGAGTGTGAACCCTGGCAGTCTGGTTCCAAAATTAGTCCTGTCCCTGATCCCCCTAACTCTAGGTGAACCAACATTCAGGCACGGCAGGCTCGTGGGTGCACAGTCAGCAGGGGTGGCCTTGCTTCCTTCCTCCTGCCTCCTTCTGCTTTGGCCCGTGTCCTGCACAGTGAAGGCTCCCCCAGGCCCTGTGGGGGCAGGAGGGGGCAAGTGGGTATTAAAATGGGAAGGTCGGCCGAGCACGGTGGCTCGTGCCTGTAATCCCAGCAATTTGAGAGGCCTAGGCGGGTGGATCACGGGGTCAGGAGATCGAGACCATCCTGGCTAACATGGTGAAACCCCATCTCTACTAAAAAATACAAAAAAAAAAATTTAGCCGGGCGTGGTGGCAGGCACCTGTAGTCCCAGCTACTCAGGAGGCTGAGGCAGGAGAATCGCTTGAACCCAGAGGTGGACGTTGCAGTGAGCCGAGATCGCGCCACTGCACTCCAGTTTGGGATAAAAGAGTAAAACGGTCTCAAAAAGACCAAAAAAAACAAAAGACGGGGAGGTCTGGCTCATGTCATTCACCCGCAGCTCGAGCACCCGGAGGAGCCGACTCAACATTTGCCTTTGTGATGATGAAGCCACAGAAGTTCAGCTCCTGGGGAACAGTGCCAGTTCTTTCCTGCTTTTAATGCTGGAGGAAACCTCAGCCAGGGAGGCCGCGGGCGAGGGGCCGCAGACAGGCCGAGGGTCTGCAGGAATCTGCAAGTCGGCAGGAGAGAGGGGATGAGAAACGCTGCCGTCACCTCCTGCCTGGGCCACGCGGGGCCGCCCGGCCGCCGCCGTGCAGATGGGGTGTGTAAAACCGCCGGTCAGCCCGCGTCTGCTGGTCGTCAGGGAGCAGAGGCTCGTTAAGAATGTCTGTTAAAAGCCAGGAGCCTCCATCGTCACTCAGCTGAAGATGTGTCAGTGGAGAACGGAACCAAATGTGCTTTTTCTAGGGGAGGAAACAGGCTTTTCACACACCATCTGTCGCCAGGAGCAGGGAGGTGTGGGCCTGGCGGGCGACGGTGGGCAGCAAGGGGACGGCCAACAGTGAAGCCAAAGCGTTGCGTCTTGCCGGCGCCTCCTCCTCTCCTCCTGGTCAGATCCTCACCCTCCCCCACCACGGTACACCTGCGGTCACGCCCGCCCCTCCCAGCCTTGGCTGGAGTGTCCTCCAAGGCGCGAGGCAGCAGACAGAGCCCCAGTGCCAGCCACCCTCCCCCTCTCGTTCCATCTTGCCAGGTGACTCTGAGTCTCCAGCAGCAGAACTGGGGTCCTCCATCCCCGGGCTCCCTGAGCTGTAACGCAGCCGCCTGAGGCTGGGGATGGCCCCGAATAGCCTCAAGGGATCTAAGGAATGGCCCGGAGGAGCCCCCAGTCACCAAGAAGCAGCCTTCAGAAAAGCCGGAGCAGGTTCCAGGCAAAGGAGACCTGAACGTGCATTCCCGTGGGATCGCCTGGAGGGGTAAGCCCTGCTGTAGGGGACGTGGCCGGCTGCGGGGCAGGGGGTGCCTGATGGGGGCTGAGGCCTGTGCAGAGAGGCCAAGAGGACACCTGGACCCTCGGCCGAGTCCAGCCACCAGAGACCCAGAGCCCCCCATGGAAAGCAGAGCCTCTGCCCCTGCGGACAGCAGGTCATCCCAGGCCGGGGGAGGGGGCTGCCCAAGCGTTCCCACCCCTACCCCCACCCAAAACAAACGGGGCACAGCAGGTGTGGAGGGCGCGGCCTTCTGCACCCCTCCTGGTGCTCAGCTCTGTCCTGGGACCCCCGCACCCCCCAAAAGGCACCAGGCCTCTCCGGCCCCGTTCCTTGTTGGCTTCCAGGCCTAACCCTACGTGACCTCTTCTCTGGGTTCCCCTCACCTCCTCCCAGTGCCAGGGGAGGGACATGGGTGCCTACAGGGAAGGCGACGGGTCCCTTCTAGCCTCAAGAAATGCATGGCAAGCCCTGGTTGAGGGACCTTCTAGGAAATCCTGACCTCCCTCCTCAAAACTGCCCAGACCACCAGAACTAAGGGAAGTCCGAGCAATGGCCACAGCCCAGTGGGAGCTCAGGCAGCTGGACGGGAACCATCCCGGGACGGGGAAAGGCCCCTGAGTGAAGGCCAAGGACTCCAGTGAACCGTGTCGATCCTGGTTCGTGCTGGTCTGGGGCGTTACCTCCACGGGACCCTGCAGGGAGGGAGGGCACAGACAGGGGCTCGGCACTGTCTCCTCGGTGCTTCTGAAAACCCACAGCTGCCCAAAAGAAAGCCTGTTATTTGCTTAAAGTACTAAGATTCTTGTCATCCCAGCACTTTGGGAAGCCAAGGCAGGAGGATCATTTGAGACCAGAAGTTTGAGACCACCCTAGGCAACACAGTCAGACCTCATCTCTATCAAAAAAAATTAAAAACTTTAAAACATTAGGCAGGCATGGTGGTGCCCACCTGTGGTCTCAGGAGACTGGGGCAGGAGGATCACTAGAGCCCAGGGGAGGTCAAGGCTGAAGTGAGCTAGGATCGCACCAATGCACTCCAGCCTGGGTGACTAAGGGAGGCCCTGTTTCAAAACAATATATTTTTTGGCCGGGCGCAGTGGCTCACACCTGTAATCCCAGCACTTTGGGAAGCCGAGGCAGACGGATCACTTGAGGTCAGAAGTTCGAGACCAGCCTAGCCAACATGGTGAAACCCCATCTCTACTAAAAATACAAAAATTAGCTGGGCGTGGTGGTGGGCACCTGTAGTCCCAGCTACTCGGGAGGCTGAGGCAGGAGAATCGCTTGAACCCAGGAGGCAGAGGTTGCAGTGAGCCAAGATCGTACCACTGCACTCCAGCCTGGGTGACAGAGCAAGACTCTGTCTCAAAAAAAAACTTTTTAGGGTAGCAGGAGTCACCCATAATGACATCAGTCCGGCATTTCCACAGACGCCAAAAGGGAAGAGACGGGCCTGGCTGAGCCCCGGAGGCCCACGCGCCACACTCCGAGTTTCCGCAGAGCCTGGCTGCGCACGCAGGCCCCCATCTCAGCCCCACGTCTCCTCAGCTGCTTCTGGGGTTTCTGTGAATAATTCTCCAACAATCCAGACCTCAGTGACTCTGGACTAAGGAGTCTCGCCTCCCAGAGTGACTGTGCTTATAAATAGGATTTTCTCAAGCTGGTTTCTACTCTGAAAACTGTAATAACATATGTCCGATCCTCGTTTTCAACAAAAAGATTTAAAAGCAGCAAAGCAGGGCCAGGCACAGTGCCTCACACCTGTAATCCCAGCACTTTGGGAGGCCAAGGCAGGTGGATCACTTGAGGTCAGGAGTTCAAGACCAGCCTGGCCAACATGGTGAAAACCCATCTCTAATAAAGATACAAAAAATTAGCCGGGCATGGTGGCAGGCGTCTGTCATCCCAGCTACTCGGGAGGCTGAGGCAGGAGAATCGCTTGAACCCCAGGAGGTGGAGGTTGCAGTGAGCCAAGATTGCGCCACTGCACTCCAGTCTGGTGACAGAGCGAGACTCCGTCTCTGAATGAATGAATGCAGCAAAGCAAGGTTGGTAAAGACCCCACAACAGGCATCTGACGGCTGTGTCCAGTCCATGCTTCTCAAAGGGGATCCAGAAACCTTCGGGGGTCCCCGAGGTCAAACCTGTTTTCATGACACTTCTGAGAGTGGTTTCCTTCCCATTCTTTTGAGACTGTCTCTCGCTCTGTCGCCCAGGCTGGAGTGCAATGGCACAGTCTCGGCTCAATGCAACCTCTACCTCCCGGACTCAAGCGATTCTCATGCCTCAGCCTCCTGGGATTACAGGCGCCCGCCACCACGCCTGACTAATTTTTTGCATTTTAGTAGAGACGGGGTTTCACCATGTTGCCCAGCCTGGTCTCGAACTCCTGACCTGTGGTGATCCGCCCGCCTTGGCCTCCCAAAGTGCTGGGATTACAGGCGTGAGCCACCGTGCCTGGCCTCCTTCCCATTCTCCTGAAAGTGTGGGGCGGAATGTTCTGGAGGCCACAGGCCTGCAGGCAGATGCAGACATAAGAATCCAGCACAAACAGCCACCCCTCCTTTCTCTTCCCACTACATTTTTTTTTTACGGGGAAACAGTTGTTTTTCATTAAAATGTTATGTTCACATGCAATGGATTTATTGCTACTTTTACGTGAAAAAGTGAACATTTTTAAATACTCTATTTCTAGTAGGGTGAATGTCCACAGCGGCCGCGCATGTAAACAAAAGCTCAAAAGGTTTCAGGATTGCGAAGGGTCCTGAGACCAGAGTTTGGGAGCCGGGCCGGGCCAGCTTTGGGTGAGGATCCTTCCGGAACCTGGGATCACAGGGACGATCACATGGACCTGTGGCTCCACCCAGTGGCGATGGCGAGCACGGCAGGAGACCCCAGCAGGCAGGAGCGCGGCCTGAACCGCCTGGCCCCGGGGATCTGCCCAGGGCAGGCAGGGGTGTCCCGGGCCCTGGGGCACTGGGGACTCAGGGCTGGCCGTCCTCCATGGCGGGACTGTCCTGCGGGTTGCAGGGGCCAGGACAGCCTGCCTGGGCTCCACCAGCCAGATGCCTGTGGCAACACCAGCCAAGAGCACAGACGTCTCCACTTGCTGGCCAGCATCCCCTGGGAGCAGAACTGCCCCCCGTGAGAGCTGCCCAGTCCACAATACAGAAAGGACGGTGCGAGGGAGGCGTCAGCAGGGAGCAAAACTCGCACATGATGGCCGAGAGCTCCAGGCACTTACCCCACCTCCACTCTGTCCCATGGGGGCTCCAAGCCGGCCCCTTCCCACCATGGGAGCCGGGGTGGACCCAGGGAGTTCAGGGCACTGGAGGGGGAGGCTGTTTCCGCCCGGCGTCCTTCCCAGTCCCGCAGCAATGGCAGAGGGGACGTCTCTGTGGTCGCCACCCGCGGCAGCAGCTGCAAGGTCAGCAGCGCTGGAGGGGTTCTGGCCTGGACGCTCCCTGGGGGTCTTGGCCTCTCCTCGCCTCCTGCCAGCCTCACAGACCCCAGGGGCTCCCACACGGTCCTTGAGGCCCCCAGCCACGGCTGTACCAAGGAGCACTGCCTGAGCTCTCAGCCCCACTCCTCCCAGCTGCCCTCTGTGGTGCCCAACCCTGCCCACCCACAGCACCCTGGGGGTCCTCTGTGCTCGCCTCACAGACGGGCAGGCAGCACTGGACCCCCAGCTCGAAGAGGCCGAGCCCTGCTGCCGTGGCTTCCCACTTAGCTGCTCCTCCGGCACGTGGGACCCGCACTGCCTGCCTGCTGCTCCTCCGCACCCACCTGTAGAGGGTGGGAGGGAACCTTCCACAGCTCGCCTGAGCGCTGGGCAGGGGCGGAGCCTCTGTCCTCTGCCTGCCTCTGCCAGCTGGTCCCCAGGTTCAGGCTCAGCAGGCCCCAAGATGCCCGTCACACAGAGGCTGCCCGCTCCCGTGGGGAGGTTCTTTGCAAGCTTCTCAAGCAAAGGCCTCCTTGCATGCAAACCTGTGGTGACACTGCACCTCATCAGGGTCCGGAGCCCCAGCCACCAGCGAGGTCACTGTCGGAACTCTTTGACCGAGTGCCTCTGGAAGACGAGCTTTGCCGATTTCCACCTGTGGGTCCAGCCTGTCATTCCCACGCCCACCAGTGCCGGATGTCCAGCCCCAAGACAGACCTGTAGATTCACGTGAAAAACAATCGTGTCGCCAGCACTGCCATTAGGCTTCTAGAACGGTCTCTTTAGAGGGAAGAAAAGTATCCACTGCTTTGAAAAGAGGCCACAGGAGATGGGCAGACCTGAGTGGGAACCTCGCCCTGGCTCTGTCTCCTAACAACAGGGTCCACAGCCCTCTTCTCTCACAGACGCTTCTGCTGCAACGGTCCAGACCCCCAGAAGTCATTTGCCAAACTTCAACTGGAGCACAGAGAATTTACTAGACCAAGGGACTCCACTCTGGGGGAGTTAGCTGAAAGAAATAATCTGAAAGTCTCTCTCTCTCCTCATTCTCTCTCTTTACACATATATATATACATGTATATATGACGTGTATATATACACATATATACGTATATATGTATGAGTATATATACACGTACATATAATATGTATACGTATATACATATATATACGTATACATAAATACATACATATATACACACATACACAAGTATATAAAGTTATACGTATGGAAAGGTTCATTGTGGTATTTTTTTGGTAGACTGGTTTTTAGCAGGATGAAAAATGACATGGTTTTATTCTACATCTTATGAAGCCAAATGTTTACGCACAGAAAAGCAAACAAATCAACCTGGACGAGCCCCTACCTGACCAAGTGAGCGACTGTTTCTCCCTGTGTGGGGGAAATCTCCCTAGTTCTGTCCAGGCTCACTCCTTCACTCCAGAGCAGGGACTCATCTGTCATTCAACTCATCGGTGAGGTTTGACTTATACAGTTACGTTATTTATTTACTTATTTGATTTTGTTTTTGTTTTTGAGACGGAGTCTCGCTCTGTTGCCCAGGCTGGAATGCAGTGGTGAGATCTCAGCTCACTGCAAGCTCCGCCTCCCAGGTTCATGCCATTCTCCTGCCTCAGACTCCCGAGTAGCTGGGACTACAGGCGCCGCCACCATGTCTGGCTAACTTTGTATTTTTAGTAGACACAGGGTTTGTCAGGCTGGTCTCAAACTCCCAACCTCAGGTGATCTGCCCACCTCAGCCTCCCAAAGTGCTGGGATTACAGGTGTGAGCCACCGCGCCCGGCCACAATTATGTTTTTCATGTGAAGGTGGCTCCTTGTTCTTTTTGCATGTCTGCCTATTCTTGTTTCTCTGTTGCTCTTCCCTCATTTATCTCCTTGGGAACTGTAAATATAGCTCTTTCAAGGCCCCCTTCACGTTATTCTTGGCTGTAAATCCCCAATTTGCTGCTCTCTGGGCTGACCACATGTGTGCGGCCTGCACATCCTCTGATGTTGGAATCTATTCAGTTGTTCTTTCCTGCACCTGCCCTGGTGGAGCAAGCGTCGGGGGTTCCAGGCAGAGGATTTTGAAGATTGTCTCTGACCAACCCCACGATGTGCTCCAGCCCTGAACTGGGTCTTCACAAGAGTGTCTCAAGTCTGAGTTATTTACACCCCACGCCTGGGAGCAGCAAGACCGTGGTCTCTTCTCAGACTAGCAGCCTGGCCGCGTGCTCCTGAGGTGTGGGGTGCCTCCACCCCCAGCCCTGCCCGCTCATTCCATTCTTCTTGTCCTGCTCTTGTGGGTGCAGCGGCTCTCCGTAGTCCTCCACCTCCCCATCTGCGGAGTGGGACTCAGCCCACACCATTGCAGGCATCTCTAGGGGCAACTGAAGACCACGGTGAGAATTCTGACCACAGAGCTTGAGCCCCCACCAGCCACTGAGTCTCGCCAGTGCCAGCCTCTCTCAGCCTCTCGCACAGGACTAGGCAGGTATCAGACCCCAGCGTTCTGACGCTATGTCCCACCCTCAGTCACGGGAGTACTTGGTACTTTCTATTTGCACCTTTAAGCCTTAGATACGATTTCTAGGCAACAGAAAAAAATCCCATCCAGAACCATGTAACCTCTAATTTTCTTTTTTTTTTTTTTTTTTTTTTTTTTTTTTTTTTTTTAATGGGAAGCCCGGAGTCACCGCGCTCCTGTCGCCCAGGCTGCAGGTGCAGTGGCGCGTCTGGCTCTGCCCTGACTCCGCCTCCCGGGTCACGCCATTCTTGAGACGGAGTCTCCCTCTGTCGCCCAGGCTGGAGTGCAGTGGCGCAATCTCAGCTCACTGCAAGCTCCGCCTCCCGGGTTCACGCCATTCTCCTGCCTCAGCCTCCCGAGTAGCTGGGACTACAGGCGCCCACCACTGCGCCCGGCTAATTTTTTGTATTTTTAGTAGAGACGGGGTTTCACCATGGTCTCGATCTCCTGACCTTGTGATCCGCCCGCCTCGGCCTCCCAAAGTGCTGGGATTACAGGCGTGAGCCACCGCGCCCGGCTAATTTTCTTTTTAACTTTTTCAAATTTTTTTTTGAGACCAGGTTATGAGACTGGCTAATTTTTGTATTTTTGGTAGAGACAGAGTTTCGTCATGTTGCCCAGGCTGGACTCAAACTCCTGGACTCAAGCAATCCACCCACCTCAGTCTCCCAGAGTGCTAGGATTACAGGCGTGAGCCACGGCGCCCAGCCAAAGCCCTGATGTCAATTAACAGTTTCCATTTAAGTTCACCTATGACTAAGCACTTTGCATACGCCAGTATTCATGTGTTTTGGTTTGTTTAGAGACAAGGCCTCGCTCTGTGGCCCAGGCTGGAATCAGCTCACTGTAGCCTCAAACTCCTGGGCTCAGGTGATCCTCCTGCCTCAGCCTCCTGAGTAGCCCAGACAATACGTGTGAGCCACCATGACCAGCTAATTTTTCTTTTTTTGAGAGATGGAGTTTTGCTATGTTGCCCAGGCAGGCCTTGAACTCCTGAGCTCAAGCAATCCTCCCTTCTCAGCCTCCCAAAGTGCTGGGATTATAGGCATGAGCCACCATCCCCAGCCTGGATTATTTTTAATGATGCCCACCTTGCCCCTGGCAGGCACTGTGCAAACACTTTACGCGGCGTCTCAGCCCACCCTCCCGACAGCGCTGGGTAGCATCGTCCTCCCTGTCCTCTGACGAGCAGAGCTCAGAGAAGTTGGGCCACTCACCCCTGCCACCCACCTAAGAAGTGGCAGAGCCAGCCAGGAGCCCAAGTCAAACACAGCCACGTGGACAGCCGTCCCTCCACGCCACACCTCCTCCCCGCTGAGGGAGAGGCCGGCCAGTCCCTGCCCACATCAAGTGTCCTGAGAACCAGGTATGCCTCCCTGCAGGGCAGTCCTCTGGCCACTGGCTCCTCAGTGTGGGAGTCTCCTTTTGGGCAGAGAGCAGCCTGGTACGGCCCAGAGCGCACTGGACATCCCAGGGAAGCTCCAAAGAAAAACCCTCCATAGATCCGAGCCTGCTCCAGAGACCAGAGGTTCCGGACCGAGGGGGCACACACAGTTCGGGTTTGTGTTACTTCCCTGGGACATCCTGATGTGGCCTGTTGGGGAGAAGAAGCCAGGGACACCCTATCCTGTTGGCTCCATGTCCCAAGTCACCCAGACCTGTCCCACACCCTCCCCGCTACACCATCTCTACTGAGGCCTCTGCAGGATCCATCTGGGACATCATGAAAGGCTCTGCTAACCCTCAAAGCCCAGGTACCATGGGGTCCAGGATGTGGGCGACATTTTCCTAGAAAAATCACATAAGGAAGACCTCACCGCATCTCCCAGCCCTCCTCAGGGAACCGGAGGGGACCCGTTCCTCCCACACAGCAACCTCTACAGCCTCTCCTCCAATCCCCCAGCCTCTACCACAGCCTCCCTCTCCCCTCCCTTCCTTCTGTTAAATGAAATCTATAGGAAGCCCTTGGTGGCCGGGCACGGTGGCTCACACCTATAATCCCAGCACTTTGGGAGGCCAAGGCAGGAGGATCACTTGAGGTCAGGAATTCGAGACCAACCTGGCCAACATGGCAAAACCTTGTCTCTACTAAAAACACAAAAATTAGCCAGGCATGGTGGCACATGCTTGTAATCTCAGACACTGGGGAGGCTCAGGCAGGAAGAATCTCTTGAACTCAGAGACGTGAAGTTTGCAGTGAGCTGAGATCATGCCACTGCACTCCAGCCTGGCCAACAGAGCGAGACTTCATCTTTTTTTTTTTTTTTTTTTTTTTTTTTGAGACGGAGTCTCGCTCTGAGGCCCAGGCTGGAGTGCAGTGGCCAGATCTCAGCTCACTGCAAGCTCCGCCAACCGGGTTCACGCCATTCTCCTGCCTCAGCCTCCCGAGTAGCTGGGACTACAGGCGCCCGCCACCTCGCCCAGCTAGTTTTTTGTATTTTTTAGTAGAGACGGGGTTTCACCGTGTCAGCCAGGATGGTCTCGATCTCCTGACCTCGTGATCCACCCGTCTCGGCCTCCCAAAGTGCTGGGATTACAGGCTTGAGCCACCGCGCCCGGCCGAGACTTCATCTTAAAAAAAAAAAAAAAAAAAAAAAAAAAAGGCCAGGCGCGGGGGCTCAAGCCTGTAATCCCAGCACTTTGGGAGGCCGAGACGGGCGGATCACGAGGTCAGGAGATGGAGACCATCCTGGCTAACACAGTGAAACCTCGTCTCTACTAAAAAAAAATACAAAAAACTAGCCGGGCGAGGTGGCGGGCGCCTGTAGTCCCCAGCTACTCGGGAGGCTGAGGCAGGAGAATGGCGTGAACCCGGGAGGCGGAGCTTGCAGTGAGCCGAGATCTGGCCACTGCACTCCAGCCTGGGCGACAGAGCGAGACTCGTCTCAAAAAAAAAAAAAAAAAAAAAAAGTTCGATGTCACCAAACTGAAGCTAAGTTGTTTATCTGAACTTCTGAGAAATCGGGGGAGTAATAACAGCCAAATCCCCAAACAGGCCGGTCCTGGTCGGTACATTAAGGAGTTCTCTGTTTTCACCCTTACAAGAAAAGCAGTTTTGAAGGGAGCGACCTGTGTTTTCTGTTTCTGCTTTCCTCGGCCCTTCTGTCCAGAAAACCAACCTCCTCTGTTCAGCCCCCCGGAGCACTCCCTGCTCTTTGTAGAGCCAAGCGTTGCCCGAATCGAGCATCATGAATGAAGCCAGAGGATCTTTAAACTAAATTCGTAATTTTGTCTTGTGACAATTCTCTGGACTGGCTCATGCCGGGAAGGAAAGATGGCAAATCAGACACTGTCCTAGTGGACAAGGAGGGAGATGTCCGACCCACCGTGGGTCATCTCAAGCACCTACTTGGCTGGATGAAGGGACCCCTAGAGACCTCATAAAGCGCTGCTTCTGGGTATGTCTGCGAGGGGGTCTCCAGAGAAGCCTGCCTGGGGGTCCGGGTCCTGAGGGGAAGACCCTCCATATGGACGGATACCATCAATCACCTGGGGACCCAGAGAGAACAAAAAGGGGCCGGACGTGGTGGTTCATGCCTGTAATCCCAGCACTTTGGGAGGCTGAGGTAGGTGGATCACTTGAGGTCAGGAGTTCGAGACTAGCCTGGCCATGGTGACACTCCATCTCTACTAATATAAAAAAATTAGCTAGGCATGGTGGCATGCACCTCTAGTCCCAGCTACTCCGGAGGGTGAGGCAGGAGACTCGCCTGAACCTGGGAGGTAGATGCTGCCATGAGCTGAGGTCACGCCACTGCATTACATTGTCTGTAGCCTACGAGACAGAGCCAGACTCTGTCAAAAAAAAAAAAAAAAAGGAGGGAAAAGGAGTTCTGATCTTGTTCCTGGCACTGGGACTCTCTCCTCCTCCTCCTGCCCTTGGACATCAGAACCCCAAGGCCCCCCAGCCTTGGAACTCCAGGACTTAACATCAGCAGTTCCTTGGATTCTCAGCCTTCAGCCCTGGCCTGAGAGTCACACTTTTAGCTCCCCCGGTTCTTCCGTTTCCTGACTTGGACTGAGCCAGGCTGCCAGCATCCCAGGTCTCCAGCTTGCAGACAGTGTCCCTCCCGGGACTTCTCAGCCTCCCTAACCACATGGGCCAATTCCTCTAACAAACCCACTCTCATCCGTCTATCCATCTCTCTCTCCAATCACTGGTCTGCCTCTCGAGAATCCCTACGGATGCAACGCGTTTCTGTACACTGGCTTCTGCCTGGGATCTCACAGGTGTGCCGGGGAACAAGCATTCCACAACCCATTTGGGAAACTGTGGAGGACGGTGTGAAAGGAAAGGAGAAGCTCAGGACCCCAATTCAGGCTGCCAAAAGGACAAAACGAAGCTGAAGGCCGGGCAAGGGACTGCCTCTCCCTGTGTTCCTGGCCAGGTAACTACAGACGCGGGATCAGATCGCACTCTCCGTTCCCCTCATCTTGGGGACGCATCATCAGCGATCCCCGCCCCCTCTTCTCTTCCCACCATGGGCTCAGAAACAGGATACCCCACAGCCCACTTTCCCCCTTTTAATACAGAGACTCAAAACCATCGCTGGAGAAAGACCTCGACCTTGCCAAGACACGCTCCGAAGCCCACCGAGGCCTGTCCCGGGTATTTCTTGGTTTACAACTGAAATGGACCAAAAAGACAGTGGGCATCCTTTCTGGATCATCTGATTCTGCAGGGGCCTACGCCTTTCTCCATCTTCGAGACATTTTACGGTTCTGGAGTTGCAGAAAACTTCGAGCAATGCGAGCGACTCTCGACCAGTGTCGCGACCGTCAAATGCAATCGATCATCGCCAGTGGAGAGTGACCGGATATGAGACCCCTGCCCGACTCCAACATGGCCGCCCAGCCCACGACCGAGGCCTGGGCCGCCGCTGCCAGGAGCCAAGATGGCGGCGTCGCGCGCTGACGTCGCGCGCGCCCGGCCCCTTCCTGCCGGGACCCGGAAATGATCTCCCAAGGCGGAAGTAAACGGCACGCGACGATTGGTTGAAAAGTTGGCGGGCGCGGGTGAAGGCTGCGAGCGGGGCCGTCCGGGTGGTCTGGGCGACTGCCCCGAGGGCCCCACACGCCCTGCAGCCAGCCCCGACCGTCTTACCTCAGTTTCCCCACCTGTAAGAGGGGTCAGCGGGCGGGTGCCTTTGCCATCGTCCTTCTCTAAATGCAGGGACGGAAGACGGGCGCTGGCGGGACGGCCACAGGAGCCCAGGCCCGGCGCCTGCACGCGGGGCTCGTGCCCAGGAGTTTGACCAGATCGGGAGGCGGCAGGGGGTGGCGGCGAGGGGCCCTGGCGAGGGCACAGGCGGGACAGGGGGCAGCGCTGGCTGAGGCCCGGCGGCCAGAGGGAGCGGGAGGCAAGGTGCAGGGCCTGGGCTGCTGCTTCCTGGGCACATCTAGCTTTCGAGGGTCACACCGCGGGGAAAGGTGACCTTTTGAAAAGGTAATGGGGGCCGCGATCCCTCCAGAGGCTGTAGGGAGGATCCCTCCTGCCTCTTTCAGCTCCTGGGGGCTCTGGGAGCTCCAGGCGTCCTTAAAAGGTTTGTGGCGGCCTGACTCCAAAGTTTTTTTGTTTTTTTGTTTTTTGTTTTCCCCCGAGACAGAGTCTCCCTCTGTTGCCCAGGCTGGAGTGCAGTGGCGCCATCTCAGCTCACTACAACCTCCGCCTCGGGTTCAAGCGAATCTCCTGCCTCAGCCTCCCGAGTAATGGGGATTACAGGCGCGGGCCACCAACCCTGCCTAATTTTTGTATTTTTAGTAGAGACGGGTTTCCACCATGTTGGCCAGGTGAGTCTTGAACTCCTGACCTCAGGTGATCCGCCCTCTTTGGCGTCCCAAAGTGCTGGGGTTACATATGTGAGCCACCGTGCCCGGCCACAACTTTTTTTGAGACAGAGTCTTGCTCTGTCGCCCAGGCTGGAATGCAGTGACTATCTCAGCTCACTGCAGCTTCCACCTCCCAGGCTCAAGCAATCCTTCCACCTCAGCCTCTCCAATAGCTGGGATCGCAGGTGCACACCACCACACCGGGCTAATTTTTGTATTTTTTTGTAGATAGGGTCTCACTGTGTTGCCCAGGCTGGTTTTCAACTCCTGAGCTCAAGGGATCCTCCCGCCTTGGCCTCCATAAGTGCTGGGATTACAGGTGTAAGCCGCTACTTCCTGCCATCTATTTTCTGTATTTTGCAAATAAAAGGTTTGCAGGTCACATCAAATATCAAGTGATCGATCTGTGGGGACTCAGGTGCCTTCCTCAGAGCCCCTCCCTCCCTCCCTCCCACCCCAGCCATCCTTGTGCATCTGCACGTGCCTGGGCTGCTCAGGGGCTCTCTCCTGCCCACTGAGTGCGGGAAGTCTCAGTCGCTGCAGGGCCCTAGGTGCTGCCACACGGGTGGAGAATCCATGGTGGCCGGTGGGAGGCCTCCAGCACAGACCCTGCACACCTGAAGGCTTCTGCTAGCAAAGCCCTGGGACCTAAGACCAGATGCCCAGGGCTACAGCCCACTTAGGATGACACACAGGGTCCCCAGATGGGTGCATCTACCCCACTGACCCCCTTTTTTGGGGTGCATGTGTCTGTTCTGGGGCTGCTTTGGGCCCCAGGGATTGGGGGTGGACAGTGTCGCCTTGTGAGAAGGGGCCCGTGTGGCAGGAGTGCCCTGTGGGCACAGGCCAGGCCCTGGAATGGTCTGTGCCTCGCACACTGCGTTGGCAAGCGACTGCGCTGTTCCTGAGCTGTTGAGGAGCTCAGAAATCCAGGCCGGCATCTTTCTGCCCCACGTGGTGGCAGAGATAGCCAGAAGTGAGTGCCCGCCGCCCAGTGCTCCAGGCCCGTTTCCCCAGACAGGGCTTGTCCACCTGTGGTCTGGTCTCCACACAGCAGGATGTGCATTCGAGGCCTGTGACCCATGGGGTGGGAAGTGGGGCATGCAGGGGCCCCACCCGTGTTGGGATGACCTGGCTGTCCCCAGTAGCCACCTCTGCACGGGGCTTCTGGTGAGTTTGGGCCATCCCAGTGTCTCGCTGGGCTCTGCCAAACCCACTTGCCAATCCGATTTGGAAGACGGTCCCGTCTACATGGTTTCCCCAGGCCTGGAAGCAGCAGCGGCACCACCCCCTGCACTGGGGGTCCCAGGATCCCCGATGGGCTGTGGCGTGACCCGTCCAGGCTCTTAGAGGCCAACCTGGACTCACAGGACATCCTGTGGTTCATGGTACAGGCAGGTCCTCGGGCCCGGACGCACTTACAGTGGTGGCCAGGGAGCCCGGAATGTTTGAATGAAGCCGTGGGGATGGTCAGAGGCCAAAACACACCATTTTAACTTCTAATTTTCCTTGGGCAAAATCACTGGACCTCTGTCATCCCTTTTTTTTTTTTTTTTTTTTTTTTTTTTTTTTTTGAGACAAGGTCTCAAAAGCTGTGGCGTGGTCACAGCTCACTGCATCCTCCACCTTCCAGGCTCAAGGGATCCTCCAGCCACAGCATCCCAAAGTGCTGGGACGACCGGTGTGAGCCACTGCACCCAGTCTAGTCATCCCAAAGCAATTGTCTGTCGATGTGGGTGGGGACTCTCCCAAAGCCAGAGGCCCTGTCAGCCTGCTACACGACTCTGACCACCACCCTGCGGATCACGGGCTCCTAGGAAAGCCGCCCCAGGGACCACGATACCGGAGGTGGCCTGGGGCAGAAGGCGCAACTCACTCTCCCTCCTCTTCCCCCACAGACCTTGGAAAGGTCTCGCCTCAGCGCCTCCCACCACCCTCAGCTGAGCAAATGTGTGTCTATTTTGGAAAATCTGCAACGTCTTTGAGCTGGCGCCCTTGAAAGAGAGTAATTTGGTGTAGCCGGCGGTGGGGGCCTCTGAGCCCAGCAGGCTGTTATTTTGCCCATTGGTTCCCCTTAAACACATTCAAGCTCGGAGTGGGGGCAGCACCCCGTCCCCAGGAGCCCAGCTGGCATTGTTTCCGGGGACACACTGACCTCCAGTCCTCAGGCCAGGAGCTAGGGCGTCCGAGGCCGTGGGGATCCACCGCCCAGCCTGCTTCTGTGCTCCCAGGGCCTCCTGCCTCGGGCCACACTTCTGGTTAGCAAAGAGATACCTGGGTTTTCAGGAGACGGGCGTCTCTTAAGCAGGAATCCTCCAGCAATTGCAATTGTAACCACGCGCCGACCTGCAGCTGTTCTGAGTAAACTGAGCTGCGGCAGGCACGCTACCCCGAGGCTGCAGTGTAAGCATGGCTACGGCCTGGCCCCTAGCAGGCCCCTGACTACACAATGGAGGTCAGGTGTGGATGACGACCATGCACCCGGGATTCTCTTGAAGTTTTCTGTGCTTGTGTTTAAGAGCTTAAATTGTTTTTGAAAATCACTTTGAAACTTTTACAGAGGACATAAAAGTCGTTGTCGTGAGCTTCCTTTGGTTCAGAGGAGCGTCCTTCATTATTTCCCTGGACCCCACGTTTGCGGTTTTGTTTGCAGGGACTGAGCGAAGTCAGCGTGTTCTCCACACACATTCACCCATTGCCCCCAGGCTGCCTAGGGCCGGCAGGCCACAGGGTCCCACTAGGACAGCCAGAGCCCTCTGCAGAGCCTAGAGTACAGGTGGGTGGAGGACGGGGCTAGCCCTGGGGCCCCAGCTCAGCACTTTGTTCCTCTGTTCCCTGGGGAGTTGACTGGTGTCGGGGGCTGGTCTCCCTCACCCACTCAGCGTCGAGGCCACAGGCAGAGGCCAGTCCCAGGAGACCCTGCCGCCGCAGCTGCCCACTAGGAGGAGGTCAGAGACCCCTGTGCCAGTGTGGGACCAAGCCCTAAGGTCAGTGTGAACGTCCCCGGCCTCACGTGTTTCCCCCTCCGTCTCGGCTGGCTGTAGATGGAGTCTCGATGCTCCTACCCCAAGCCAGGCCCAGCTGCACAGCCCCATGCCTGGCGGGGCAGGAGCCCCTCGGGCCAGGGACAGCCATTTCTAGGCCAGCGGAAAGAGCCCTGCGTGTTCTCACCCAGCGGCCCAATTAGTGGCCTAATTTCAGAACGGAGCCCCTGGCCTCCCGGGAGGCTGCAGTCACTCGGTTGGGGAAATGGCTGCCATTCTTCCCGACAATCACTGAAGCCAGGTCCAGCTGTGGGGCCGGGGGAGGCAGGTTCTAGACCCCGAGGCTGACTCCAGCTCGAGGGGTCAGGGCCCGGATGTGTTTGGGGGTGTCCAAGTGCAGCCTTGGTCGGAAAGTAGAAGTCAGTCTTCAAGACCCCCGTCTTACGGAGGATGGCGTCTCACAGCCCCTCACACGAGTGGAGGTTACTGTACCCACCCAGGTCAGCACCGGACCTGCTTCTGATTCTGGGGGTCCACACGACACAGGGGGGATGACTGGTGCCCCCCACCCCCAGAGACCTGAAACACCACAGAAGTGGGGTGAGAGACAGGACCTACCACATGCCTGGGACATGGGCCTGGAGCAGACCCAAGGCCCTCGGCTCACCCTGGCCCTGCCCCCACTTCCCTCAACCTCCTCCTGCCCTCAACCTTGGGCAGGTAGGCGGGCCAGGTCCACCGTGCAGGTACACACAGCCGCTTCTCTCCTGAGACGCTGAGGACTGGCAGGATCTGCCTGGACCACAGGGCAGTGCTCACTCCAGGACGTGGTCCCACGGCCTGTCTCGGCTGTCCTGGTGGCCCACACCACACTCCAACCTGTGTCCTGATTCGCTGGGGGCACTGGCAGTGCTGGACATAACTCAGGCACCCTCGGTGACCTTACTGGGTCCAGTGAATTGCCCAATAGCCAGAACCTGGAGCCTTGGCGACCCCATTAGGAGACCCCCTAGGTCCTTCCAGATGAGCAGATGCAAAGGCCGTTTGGGGTCCTGACAGCGGCCACAGAACCCCCAGCTCTCACAACTCAGCTGCAGAGCTCAGGGTGTCCCCACCCTGGCCCTGGCTCCAAGCCACCTGCTGTCCCAGTGAATGCAGGGACAAGTCCCGGGGTCCCCCCACCTTGCCTGCATCCTGGGGCAGCACACGCCCTTCCCCCAACAGTCATTCCACTCTGGCACCGGGCGGAGTGGTGCCCCCAGCCATACGGACAGCCCCCAGCAGCCCAGATACTAAGGTGCATCTGGAGTCACAGCACCCAAGGGCACACGCAGGGCAAGCACCAGGGCCAGGGAGAACTCGTCTATCCCCCACCATGCCAAGAGGAGCAGCCATCTGCCCTGAGGAGGAGGCCTGATGCCCTGGGCTTTAAGCTGCCCCACCCCACCCCCAAATCCGTAATAAAAATAATCCCTTCCCTAATGTGCCCCAGTTCTGGAGGCGCCTCTGATCCCGCCAACCCACATCAGGGCGGGAGGTGCAGGTGGCCCCGATTCACAGTCACAGCGCGAGGAGGCCTGCTGAGTGGCTTCAGGGGCCTGGGCGCCCGAGAGGGACAGGCCCACCTCTCCCCAGCCACCCCTGCAGGACTCTGGGCCACCCCAGGCAGGCCGGGCAGTTCCCTGTGACACTGGGGAAGGCAGTGCCTGCTCACAGGCCCCTGGCCCTGGTTTCCCCGGGGGTGGCCCAGCCTCTGCAAGGACTGAGTTTGGGGAGCTTGGCCCTGTGCCCCCAGTGGCTGCTGTTGCTGCCTGGGGGCCCCCACCTAGGATGCAACCTGGTGTGTGTGTCACCTGCTGGTACACAGGGCGCAGCTCCCACAGGAGCCCAAGGGGTGCACCCAGGGCAGGCTGGGAGGAGACACAGGGAAATGTGTCAGAGGAAAAGGGGCCAGTCTCAGCTCTGCAGGCTGGCAGATGCGGAAACTGCAAAGGGAAGACCCCTCCCCAGAGCCTCGAGGCCACACAATCCCTGCCCGAGTGCTGCAGCTGGATGCACCTCTCCCGAGGCAGCATGCCCCACAGCACCCACAGTGGGCCGGTGTTGGAGACGCCTCAGGCCGCCACTCTCAGCTCAGATCAGACTGAAGAGCACGGCACTCTCCTGCCCTCCAGAGCTGGCTGCTAGTCTGGGAACGGGGAATTGGGCCGGAGCAGGGAGCTCCACAGAGACTCAGGGCCCCTAGCAGGAAAAGGCTCACATCCCAGGGTGAGCCACATGGCCCACACAGGACGCCTGTCAGGGGGCACAGCTGAGGGTCACCTGATCCCTGCAGGCTGCAGAGGCCCCAGAGGGTAAAGGGTCCTAGTCCCATCCCCATTCCTCCGCACTGGCCCAGGACACTGGAGGCGGAAGGCCCCTGGTATGCAGCCAAGGAATCCACCCCTCAAGTGGAAGGAGACCTCTCCACCAGGACCAAGCTGGTCCCTCAGGGAAACTGGACCAGCCCCACTCTGGCCCCTGGCTGCGTGTCCACCCGCTGGGTGAGCCCTGGGCAGCACAGGCTGTCTCTGGGGTCAGCCCAGCCCTGAGGAGGGGGTGGGGGTGGCGCCAGGGCCCAGGTGGTGGGAGGGGCGGGGCGCAGCCAGGGCTCTGCCTGGCGGACTCCCGGCACATCACTTGGCCCTCGCCGTCACTCGCGGTCGCCTGGCGTTTGTCATCATTGTCCCTCCACTGTCACCTTTCAAGGTAGGTCCGACGAACAGGCCCCTGGGGCTAGGGAGGGCCTTGAGGCTCCGCGGCTCTCGGCTGGCCCAGGTCAGTCCCCTGGGCTCACCTAACTCCCAGGGCGAGGGCGGCTGCCCCACCGACAGCGAGACCCAACCCGAGCCGGTGCTGCAGGCAGGGAGGCGGCTCACGCGGTGCGGGGGAGCTGTGTCCATCTGAGCGCCGTGCGCCGCCTGCAGTGCCCACCGAGTCCTGCGGCTGGGGGCGTCCACAGGGTGCGTGGGGCAGGTGGCTGGGCTCGGCAGCAGCTGCGCGAAGGTAGGGCTGGGCGGTGAGGACTGGGCTGTGGGCGGGGCACCAACACCCCAGGCCTGGGAGGACCTGCACGCAGCTGGTCCCGCGCCCACATGGCTGTGTGTAGGGTCTCCGAGGAAAGACCCGCAGTGGGGATGGGGGCAGGTTGGGTGCTGGAACTCGAGGATCTCCAGGAGGGAATCCTCCCTCTGCACCCTGATCATTCCCCCAGAAACTCGCCCCCACTTGTTCCTTGAGCTCCCACCCCGGGTCTGCCGGCTGCTGGGAGTCTGCCCACTTCACCAACCGGGATCCCACCAGCCCCAAGCCCTGGGCCCCTCCCTCGCTGGGAAGCAGCTGCGCCACTAAAGGTATAGGGAGACTGTTGGGCCAGGAGCCCCCTTCACAGCCAGAGGCAGGCTCCCCCAAACTCGACGCCAACCCCCAACCCACCCCCCCAAGGTTCAGCCCTGTCTCCCAACCTTGGGGATTGGGGCCAGGGTTGGGACAGAGTAAGGGACTCCCTGGGCCCCTGGAGTGGGCAGGGGGAGAGGCACGGGGCATCCCACCCCTACTTGCCTCGAACTTGTGGCAGTTCTGAGGTGTCAACCTGTGGCATTCCCAGGCTGGCCACAAGCAGAAAGCATGCCGGTGATGTGTGTGTGGTTGCCAGACTCGCTGGGGACCCAGGGGCCACCAACAGCCCATGTCCTCGACTCAGGTCGTGTAGCCTGAGCCCCCAAGATCCTGAGCACACCCCCCACCTGCCAGAGATGCAAACTGCAGCAGAACGGTCCTGTCCAGGAGTCCTGACTCTGGACTGGGCTCTGCCCATGCAAAGCAGAGGGGCATGCAGCAGGGCGGGGCGGGGGTCACCTCCTGAGGACCTCACCCCCACCTCACACTGTGGTCTGAGTCAGCCTGCATGGGCCTCAGTGGGAGGGCGGGAGCTGGGGGCCTGCCATGCTGAGCACCCATTCTGCTGTCTGCAAGGGACCTTCTTAAGGTGTTGGGGGGGTGTGGGGAAGTAGCTAAGAATGCAGTTTTGTGCAGTTAATTAGTCCCACTGGGGGAGGCGGGAGCTGGGGCCTCATGGGAACTTGCCCTGTGCCCTACACCCTAGCAACGCCTGTGGACCTGGGAAAGACACGAGTGGAGAAAACAGGGCCCAGGGTAGTGGCCCAGGCAGTGGTGGGGACTCTCGCCCCTTCATCCTGGGGGGCTCAGCTCAGGCCTGCTGGGAGGGAGCAGTGGGGATGGGGACTCTAGGCTGGCAGCCTCGGCCCTGTGGCTTCCTCCTGTGCCCTCCAGCCCCAGGCTGGCTGCTTCGGAAGCCCCCGACGCCATGGAGGAGTGGGATGTGCCGCAGATGAAGAAAGAGGTGGAGAGCCTCAAGTACCAGCTGGCCTTCCAGCGGGAGATGGCATCCAAGACCATCCCCGAGTGAGTGCCCCACCCACCTGATTTGCCTCTCATTTGTCTGCCCTGCGCTGGCCGCTCATTTTCATAGCCATGACCACCACCGCCGACGGGCAGGTGCAGCAGGAGGCCCTCGGGGGCCAGGTGCCACCACTCACCCGCCACCCACCCACCCGCAGGCTGCTGAAGTGGATCGAGGATGGGATCCCCAAAGACCCCTTCCTGAACCCCGACCTGATGAAGAACAACCCATGGGTAGAAAAGGGCAAATGTACCATCCTGTGAGCCCCGCACCCGGCCCCACTCATGCCATCCTGTGAGCCCACGCCCGGCCCCACTCCCACCGTCCTGTGAGACCACGCCTGGCCCCACACCCACCATCCTGTGAGACCACGCCCGGCCCCACTCCCACCGTCCTGTGTGAGACCACGCCCGGCCCCACTCCCACCGTCCCCAGGATTCACGCCCGGCCCCCACCCCACCATCCTGTGAGACCACGCCGGCCCCACCCCACCGGCCCTGTGAGCCCACGCCGGCCCCACTCCCACCGTCCTGTGAGCCACGCCCACCCCCACTCCCACCATCCTGTGAGACCACGCCCGGCCCCACTCCCACCATCCTGTGAGCCCCTCTCCTGGCCCCACTCGCACCATCCTGTGAGCCCCCCTGGCCCCACTCGCACCATCCTGTGAGCCCCACTCCACTCGCGCGTGACTGCAGTCTGTAAAGGCGTGACTTTATAAAGGCGTCTTCAGGTTTTCGTTCCTCTGCACGCTCTCCGGGAAGCAATGCGGGGGCGTGTCCGCGGGTCAGAGACCTAGAGCAAGTCCCTGATGTACAGGCTGCGCCGCACAGCGTTGGAGACACCCTCGTTGAAGCGGAACCAGACCTCGCTCCTGCCCACTGCCGTGCCCATGCGCCGCTCCACTGAGTCCTGCTCCGGGGCCGTGTCCCCTGCGGGGCCACAGGGTTGCTCCTCAGCTGGACCCCAGCACCCCAGGCCCCCCACAACCCCACAACACCCCCCACACACACCTGCACTCAGGGCTGCTGTGCTCCTGACGACCACACGTCCAAAGAAGTCCCTCTCAGGCTGACAGGGAGGACGGACTAGTCAGCCCTGTAGGACAGACGCCCCGTCCAGCCCCTGCCCAAGACAGGAGGACCAAGAGCCTCTCCAGGGAGGAGGGGCCGAAGCCCCTGAGACACCTTTCCAAACCTGGCGCAGGCCAGCTGCCCCTCACCCCTCACTGCCATCTGCTCCCCACCAGGTGCCAACCAAGAAGAGCCAATATAGCCACTCTTCTGCCCAGACGGGAAACTCAGGCCCGAGTAGAACCCTGGTCACGCTGAGTGTAGGAAGCTGGTCCTTCAGAGCCCCACCCTCAGCCAGACTCCTTCTGTGGCTCAGCCCCAACCCCAAAGACACCTTGGCCCTGCCCCTGAAGATACCCTGGCCCTGCCTCATGACTGCCCCAGCCCCACCCCCAAAGGCATCCTGGTCCCGCCCCCGTGGCTGCCCATTCCACACCTGTTCCTCCCGGACTGCTCGCCTCATGATGTGCTCCAGCCGCTGCTCGTGGTTGCGTGGGGCAGGTCGGCACACCCCTTTCTCCCCACTGCCCCCCAGCAGACCCTCGAGCCCTGGGGAGCTCCCGTCCACCTGCAAGGAGCAGGACTGTGAGGTCTGGTCACACAGAGCTACAGTGGGGATGGTCCCCACCCAGGCCCCAACCTGCTCCAGAGCCCAGGTGGGCTCACCTGGGGGCTGTTCTCTGCCTGGGCCACAGCCTCCGCCCGCCGCATCTTCTCCACCTCGATCTCTCGGGCGATGAGCTGCTTGGCCTGGTAGGTCAGGGGTTTGCGGGCAGGCAGCTCGGGGAAGCGGCAGAGTTCCTCCACGTTCCTGCTCAGCGCCGGGGGGCACCAGGGCAGGTCAGTGGGGCCAGGCCCAGGACCAGAGACCCACCAGGCGCTCCAACCGCAAACCCCAAAAGTCACAACGCCAGAGCGGGAATGTAGGGTGAGTCCTGGTGCCACCGCACGCCAACCCCACAGCAGCCGAGTTTAACTGCCCCGAGCCTCAGTTTCCCCAACTGCAAATATACGTGGGATGATGAAACCTGCCGAGGGTTGCCACGACAGTGACTTAGCGTCCTGCACATTGGTGCTGTTGCTGGGGCAGCACGACCCTGGGGCTACTGCCCCGTCCTCACACCCGCCACTCCCGTAGCCATCCCACAGCGGGAAACAGCCTTGGAAAGCGCAGTCACTCTCGGGGCCCCCCAGCTCCAGCTCCATGTGGGGGCACTAAGGTTGGGAGCAGCTCTGCAGCAAAACTCAGGTCCCAGGGTCAATCTCAGGTGACTGGGGGTGACCGCCCCTCACGGTCACATTGGAGTGAGGGATACACTGGGGACCGACACCCCAGACACCATGACTGGGCTTTCAGACTCCCGGCCCTATGCGGGCCCCGGCACCTGGAGCACCTCCAGGCCCCCGCCCCAGGCACTGGGGGACTCACGGCTCCAGCCTGTAGATGTACTGCCCATCGGGTGTGCGCTCCTGGCGGTAGGTCAGGCTGTAAGCGAGCATCGTGCCCACCAGGCTGGCCAGCTGTTGCTTCTCACGGGTGCTGTACAGCTGTGTGCTCACCTGGGGGCCGGGGGCAGCAGGCGGGGGTCTGAGCAGGCTGTACAGCTGTGTGCTCACATGGGACAGGAGGACAGCAGGTGGGGAGTCCCCCACCCTGGGGACGGCACTCACGGGGCGGAGCTTGGGCGCAAGAATGTCCAGGAGCAGGCAGAGGGCGTCCAGGAGCAAGGCCTGGGGCGTGGCCCGGCTGCGCGCGGCTGGTGCGATGCCAGACACCAGCGTCTGGATCAGGTTCCTCATCTGGCTCATCCGGTTCTGGGCCTGGGGCAGGGGGCGAACCAAGGACTGGTCACCGGGGCCCCCCAGGACAAGTAGGGGAACGGCGGGTGGGGGACCGGCGGGTGGGGGAACGGCGGGTGGGGGACCGGCGCGTGGGGGAACAGCGGGTGGGGGACCGGCGCGTGGGGGAACAGCAGGTGGGGGACCGGCGGGTGGGGGAATGGCGGGTGGGGGAACGGCGGGTGGGGCCGGGGGCAGCCGCACGGGCAGCACTGGGGTGGGCAGGAGTGGCACAGAGGCAAGCACACCTCCTGCTGGCTGCTGGGGAAGGTGATCCTGGGTGTGCGGCTGGAAGCGAACAGCACGTGGAAGGCCACGGGCAGGAAGGGTGGGTAGCGCAGCAGCTGGAAGCTCTGGCTGTGGTGAGCAGCCCCCGCCAGCAGGTCGTCGAAGGCCAGCCAGTCGAGGGCCGCACACACGGCGCCCAGGCTGGAGTCTCGAAGCCGCAGGCGCAGGAAGTTGTCAAACAGGCCCTGCAGGCAGCCAGCAACTCCTGAGCTCCTGCCCCTCACGCCCCTGCCCATCCCAGGAAAAGTGCACCACTGCAAAGCCTCCACCTCCGGCCCGCGGACCCTCCACCTCCTGCCCGGCATGCCGCCTGCCCCACAAGGCTCCAAGGACCCTCCACAAGGGTCCCCACAAGACTGGGCGTCGGGCAGCAGCACACACCAGCAAGGGGCCATGGGGCCTGGGGGTTGGAGGAGGGTCCACCCTGAGCACCCTCACTGCAGCTTGAGAGAGACTGAGACAAGGAGGTGAACTGCCCACCAGGAGGCCTCCAGGAACCAAAGAGGTCCAGCCTCACTCAGGCCCTCCTTAGACTGTCTGAGGAAGCTCCGCCCACCAGAGTCCCTACCCCGTTCCTCGGGGGACTCTATCCACGCTGCCCCTCCACACTGCACAGCCCCCACCCGTTCTGCGGGGGAGTCTATCCCGCCGCTGCTCCACGCTGCCCCTGCACATCGCGAGTTTTGGGATTTGGGGATTGACTGTGGATCCCCAGCTGTTAATCCAAAGCTGCTTAGAGTCAGTCGGCAGCTTAGGCAGGGACTCCCGGGGGCAGGGTGGCAAGAAGGCCTCACCGCCCTGCTCTCCACCCCACGTGCACCCTAAGTCCAGAATCCAGCCCCTCACAGCCCCAGGCCACGCCATGGGGCAGAGGCTCCACCCCAACCCGCTGAGAGTCCCAAGCAGCCACCAGAGCCACCTCCCCTATCGGATGGCCGCCCCCCGCCAGCCCGTGCCCTGCCGCCCCCCCCGCCGCCTGCCAGCCCGTGCCCTGCCGCCCCCCGCCTGCCAGCCCGTGCCTGCCGCCCCCCGCCTGCCAGCCCGTGCCCTGCACGCCCCCTCCCCTGCCTGCCAGCCGTGCCCTGCCGCCCCCGCCTGCCAGCCCGTGCCCTGCCGCCCCCCCCCGCCTGCCAGTCCGTGCCCTGCCGCCCCTCGCCCTCCCTGGCTCCCTGCTCCCCACCTCAGAGGCTCACGGCACCCCAGCTCCCGTGCCCTGCCGCCCCTCCCGCCCTCCTAGCTCCTGCTCCCCACCTCAGAGGCCTCCTGGCACCCCAGCTCCCGAACCCGGCTCTCTCAGCACCCACAAAGCACCTCCCCGGCCACACGGGAGGGTCGGCAGGGGCAGGGGCACAGCCCAGGTCCTGAACAAGCAGCCCCCAGGCAGGGATTTTGGGGAAGGACAGGTACCTGGACCACCTTCTCGTGCTCACCCGCGGAGGCGGCGGCATGCAGGACACGGTAGAATCGCTGCGACGCAGAGGTCGGGGAGCCCGCGTCCCCGTCACCCAGCAGGAGCGTGTCAGCAGGCAGGGCGGGATCCTGGCCCACACGGCGCCTGCAAATGGGGTGCTGAAGCTGGATGGCCCGTGTCAGAGCAGAGGTAGCCCCACCGTCTCCCAGGGAAACTCAAAAGCCCCATCAGAGCCGCCACCCACTTCATTCTTCTCAGCAGGAAGACAGCCAAAGACACACTCGGACCTCAACTCCCTGAAAAATTCCCTCAAGCCGAGGAGGAGCCCCACTCTGGGAGGAGCCCTGCCATGACCCTCTGGGGCTAGGGAACCCCAGGGAAAGTCACCCCCCAGGGTCCAGGCCAGGAGCAGCACATCCCACAGGCCCAGGCCGGCGTCTCCCATGTCCTGCGGCACGACCAGGCCAGCATCCTCTGGGGTCCCATGCCAGGTCAGGACGGAGGCACGCTGGCTGCTCCTGCCTGCAGGAGGCCTCCTGGTGTGGAGAGGCAGGAGCTCAGAGACCACAGCCCAGGCCAAACGTGGCAAAAATGTGGGTGCAGCTGGGGCAGGGCCTAGGTCACAGGGCGCCCTGGAGAGGGACACCCTGGAGGCCCCACCACATCAGGGGTGTCCTTCCCACAGGGGGCCCTGGAGGTTTCCCTGGCTGACCCGCCAAGGCTGCAGTGGCGACAAAAACCCAGGAAAAGGCTCAGGAGGGCCCTGGAGGCCGGACCAGGCAGCCACAGGCTCAGGACAATGAGTTCCCAACTCAAGGATCGTGCTGGCCTGCACGCAGGGCCAGCGTCCTGGGGTCTAGGCACCGTGGGCGTCCAGGCCAAGGCTGTGGCCGCCGCCTACCTCTGGGCTCGAGGCAGCTGGAAGACCTCCTGCCACACCGAGAAGAGCCCTCTGCGCTGGTCCTTGAGGCCCACGCGTGTGGCCTGCACGTCTCGCACGCTCAGCTCCCGCTGGCCCCGACTGTACAGAAACTGGACACGGGCGGGGGAATGAGAGGCGGCTGACTCCCGACCCCACCCCACCCCACCTGGTGCCTGCCGGCCCCCACCTGCAGGGTGTTGATG